GGGGCAGCAGGGGAGCGGGCCCGAGCTTGGGGTCTGTCGCAGGCTGCGTCCCGCTGTGAGAGGCAGCTCGCCAGAGCCCAGAGTGCTGGGTTGGGAAGAGCCTGTTGGAGGGCTGGTGTTCCCTGCCCCGCAGAGTTTAGCATTAGGCTGTTGAGAACAGCGCGTACCTCCCCGCTCCTCCCGCCACGACGAGGGCGTTCTTTGCTTCTCGCACGTGTCTGTGGGCACAGGTGCGTGTGGGGCGATCCTCAGGGAATAGCAGCAGCCTGCTAGGGCTGGGGGCATAGCCCAAAACTGCATCACGGGGACAAAGACGTTACCCGGCGAGACCTAAGTTTTTTCTTTTTCTTTCACATCTTGGGGAATCAGAGTTACACCAGCAGGAGATCTGGGCCAAACTTTGTACCTTTACTAAGACCTACCAGTAAGGCCTCAGCAGGTGGACGCTTCCCTGCAGCACGGGCACCCGGCCGCCGTCGCTGTCCTTTGCCCCCCGGCGGCCACGGGGACTGGCAGGCTCCCATTCGCCTCCTTGAAATAACTAGTAGGGAGTGTGGAAAATTGAAGAGGCCCGTCAAGTACGCGGTGTGTTTGTTCCAATGTTTAATTATAACCCGCCTGTACCTGGTCAACTGAATCTGTTTATGAAATCTTACCTGATTCTTCTGTTTTACAGTTTTAAGCTCAGACGGCTAATTGGCGTGTGAAGTGTACGTAGCGACCGTCCCGCTTCTGTAAGTTTAGTTAGCCTGATTAGGATCTTTTGGGCGTTTTGACAGAGTAATCTTATACACCTGTTTGAATTGTTGGCTCATACCATAATTAACACGGTTTCTTAGCCCTTTGAGCAGAAAAGAGCTCTACAAGGTAAACTCTTCCCCCTTCGAGGTGCCCGCAGTCATTTGCGTTGCTGGATGTGTCGTGCTGCTCCTGGTCTGTACCACAAGAGGGCGCTCACCTAAAGCGATAAGCGCACGATTGTTCGTGTAATCCCCTTTTTAACTTCTGTGTCTTCCACTCCAGTGTTCCGACACAGTGCTCAAATACATATAAACAGATGGCAAAGTCTCCTCTGTTGGTTAGAAGGATAGGGACAAAAGCACGAGGAAAATGACCCATCTTATTTACGTGATGTAATTCTTAGTAATTTTAATCCAGGTGGCTAATTGAAGAGTATTAGCTATTTGGAATTAAAATTAATGGTTTGTTAATTACTATGATGGTAGTGTGTATTTTTTTTAATTATGCACTCTCGTGGTGTTTGAACTCTGCACTACTGAAGAGTGATGCAAAGTAAAGGCGTTGTTAGATCAAGACCTGTGAGCAAGTTACAGGATTCTTATTGAAGCAGAAGATGAAAACTACCAGTTAACTGCATTTAGAAATACAGTAATATGTGTAGATGAACGCATAAACCAGAAAAAATAAGTTTTGGGGTTTTTTTTATTTTTTGCTGTAAGGCTGGTGAAACACTGGAACAGAGTGCCCACAGAAGTTGTGAATGCCGTATCTCTGCAAGTGTACAAGGCCAGGTTCAGTAGAGGTCTGAACAACCTGGTTTAGTGGAAGGTATCTTTGTCCACAGCAGGGGAGTTGGAAATAGATGATCTTTAAGGTCCCTTTCAACCCTGGCTTTTCTATGAAATAACTAATGAGTTATTTCTTGTTTATTTTTTTCAAAAGAAAATACTATCTTTTTAGAAGCTTGTGAATTGATTGTTCAATGGAACATTATTGCAACAGCCAAAACTCACTTGTAACTAAAGGGAGGTGCACTATTACTTAACTCTGCTGGGAAAAATGTCAGACTTCTCTCTTTTAGTCTTATCTTTTTGTTTGCTTCACACAGAAATTAATGTCCATATAATTTTCTGTACAGAAAATTACATCTAGTTGTAACCTTCATCTCTGTGTTTACTAGGCGTCAAGTGGCTATTCACTCACAGTTCACTGAGTTCACTTTTAATAGAAAGGAATAGGAACAAATATGCAAGTGTGAATAAATTTTATCAAATATTACAGATATTAGTAGTTACATAAGTAAATGACACTCGGCTTAATTCCAAAGTCCACTGGCTGACAGGCAACCAAAGAAAAAACAAACAGAAGTCCAGCATTTCAGTAAGGCTGTATTTTGTCAGTAACCAAGAAAAGTGATTTTTTTTTTCTTTAATCCAGATTATGCATGTTAAATTCTTATACCACACTCTTAACTGTCACCCTGAAAACTAAGCCTTCTGATCTCTTTTTCATAGTTTTAGTTACTTTCCCAGGAAAGTAACTATAAATGTAAGTTGTTTACACATTTCTTCTAGGAACGTCCTTTGATGGACATTTTGCATGACCAGTGTGATTGGGAAGGTGGTAACTTAATTATCCAATCCCTGGTCATAGTCGAGAATCTATTAATACTGGAGTCAGAAAATAAAGTTACTTTTCCTGTCATACCACTGAGACACGTTTGTGTGAATCATTCTGTGTCCTTTAGTGACACTTAACGATGAGGATAATGAAAAATATATACAATTACCATTTTTAGCTGGGAACTGATTTGCTCCCAGTGTAACCCATAATCCCAATCCCATGCAAGTATTTAATGTATGTATCTTTCTCCCGTATTTCACCAAAACTTGAGGAAAACCCCTCTTCTATAGATAGGATTGGGAGAATGCATCCAGGCTGAAATCTGATGCAGAATGTTTGGGTTATAGTTGTATTCTCTTTCTTCCAGTTATTAACCCATGAATAGTGGGGGAACATGGAAATAATGGCAATCTATTCATATTGCTTTCTCTTATACTGTTTTTAGGCTTCGCTTTGGGGGTTACAGTGATGGTATAGAACAGTGTGCAAAGTTTGGGGAGGGAGAGCGGCTGGCAAGCGGTGGCCAGGCGGCAAGCCCGTTCCAGACGTAGAACTAAGCCGGGTTTCAGGGCCGTTTTTGTAAACGTCCAGCGCCGAAAGCTGCCGCCCGCTCTCTGGCCCGGAGCAGCCCTCGGAGCTGCTGGTGCAGCCGCGGCCCCTTTAAGGCAGGTGGCGGGGCGGGCGCGGGGCGCGCGCACGCGCGGGGCGGTGNGCCGCCTCAGGTACGGCCCGGGGAGCGGCCGGGGCGGCAGCGAGGGTCGGGCCGCGGGCCTGGGGGCAAAGACAGCCCTTGCCTTGCTCTGTCCTTCCAGCGAGGCTGCAAAAATACCTGTCGGGACTGAAGTGCGCTCGATGTGCCGTGTCCGCTGGTACAGAATCGGTGAGGGGCAGAGGTGTGTTGTCCTCTGTCGACGTGTGGGCTCGCTGACAGATAATGAAAGGAAGATGCTGCAAACGGATAGAACTTCGGCTACTTTGTCCCTGTGTGCAGGGCTGGTCGAACTCCTGTACATCTTTATGAGTGTCTCCACTGTCACTTCTCCCCGCTCTATGTCTGCCGCTCTGTTGGGCCTTGCTTTGTTTCTGTCATGTTGTTTGAAACTTGTGGCTTTGCATGTTTTTGTGGTACTGGCTGCTGCTTCTTGAACACTTGGAGAAGTGCCAAGTTTTCAGTTTGGCTTGCCTATCCCACTAACTATTTTTGTGATCCCCATCGTTTCATCTTGAAAAGAAATCAGTCTGTATTTGTTATTTGTTTTACTCATATGCTCACTTTGTACCATCACATGCTTTAAGTGTGAGCTCTACTGTCATATTTTTGGTTTTCATAAAAATTCATCCTCTTTTCATATTTTCAAATCAGTTCTTGCAGAGAGAAATACAATATGGAAGTCCAGAAATGCAAGAACTTAGTTATCAATTTGAAAAGAGACATAAGTGTGCCCATTATTTAATTTAAATATACTGGCAAAATTATAAATTATATTTATTGCTTACTTTCTTTTCTTTAGACTTTCAAGCTTTCTGATTATGTGTAAGTTTCTGTGCAAGTATACATCCAGGATGGGTTTGCTGACAGAAACATGTGGAATTCTATCACTTCTTTGCTTTTGGTGTTGTAATTATACTGTAGGATTTCTTGCCAGACACTGGCAACGCTGTTTATTTTGCAACAGTAGGGTACTTTAAAAAATCCAAACAAACCCCCACCATCAAATTTAACAAAATAAGTTGTGCTAATAATTCTGTTCTAGTAATTACAGAGAACTTTTACTTCTTTGGCCATAAAGAGAGAAAAATCTCAACTTTTAAGCGCTGGTCTGAAGTGTAGTCCATACCTGTAATGTAAACATGCCATTAAAATTAGAGTTTTCCTATCTTTTTCCTACAAGACTGACAATCTGCTAAGGAGATAGTACTTCTAGTAAAATTTTTCAAGAAACTTTAAAAAATAAGTTGATGCTTCAGAGTGGAGGCTAGAGCTATGGGTCTTGCACCACTGAAGCAATTAGGATGATGAATGCAGGATGGAATCTACCCCAAAAGTGTGTAAGAAATCTCAGGAACTGGTATTCATTACAGCATCTCATCGTCTGTTTCCTTGTTCTTACCTTTTCTGTATGTGTAACCCTTGAAGGTGCAGGATTGTTTCACATGTCAGGTGGAACCAACATGCACCAGATGTTAATTATGTATGCTATTGCAACACAGAGTGTTTCTTTAATGGAGTTATGGTCAGAATAGGAGAAAATGGTTAGAGGGACTACCTTTAATGATGATAATGTTTAAAAAGTATAAATCTAGCTTAGTGCTGAAGGAATTCATACATGTTGCACTGCAAAGTGTATTAGTTTAGGTTAACTCGTGTCATGCTAACTTGATGCCAGAACAGCTTTGAGGTGCATACATGGATGAGAGTATTTGTCTTCATCATTCCAGTATAGCAGCTTCACAAACTTGGGCCTTATCCAAATTGATGTGAAAAAGGTTCTTAGGCTTGGTTGTTGAACTGTGTGTGTGTGAGCCCTGTCTCCTTAGTGGAAGTTTAATGAGAAGAGTAATTTTCAAGAGTAATTGCAAGAGAAACCTTAATTGGTTATAATTGTAAGTTTAGAGACTGTACTGGGAATAAGTTGTGACATAACATGCTTTCTCAGTGGAAAAATTGATTAAAATAATTAAAAAAAAATAAACTAACTCAAAAAACCCCCAAACTGAAACTCTTCCACATTCAGCAAGTACTATCTTCAGTTAATGCAGCTTATTTTCTTATGGAGAGTGTTGATAAACTTCTTAAAACTGCTAGTTTCTTTGTCAGCCTAAATGTTTTTGTACAGCCACATCACTGTTGTAACATGTTTACTAGCAGCACAGTAGCAATTCTGAGCAAATAATGAGTTTCAAAAATTATTTATATCTTCTTTCAGCATGCAGTGTAATGGGTTTTTTGTTTTGGTTTTAATTTATTATTTCTGAAGTTATCTTTTATGTTAGAAAAGACACGGTTGAAGAATTTCCTCAGACAGTGAGACTACTTAATGGTTCTAGATTCTAGAATAAATGTACAGAAATTAAAAACTGACCTCTGAGTCTTCCACATAGTCAGCTGCAATCCATGTGATACAAAGTTCATCTGTAGGTTTTCTTCATCTGGAAGATAATTGTGCAGAATGATTTAGCATGGATGTTGCACTTCATTTGGTAACAGTACAGTGCACAACCCTGATTTTGCTTTCACTGACAAAAATACGTTGTAGTTGGAGCTCGGTTGTGTGATGTAATGTAGATATGTGGAGATAGTTGAGGCTTGACTGTGAAATAAGAGCCACTGATTTAAAGTGACTTTTCCATAAAAATAAGTTTATCATGGATCTTTTGGTTTATTTCCCTAACTCATTGAAGTACTTTGTGGCAGGAAGACCTTTGAACCTCTTCCCTCCCTCTTGTTGTCATACTCTAAAGTCTTAAAGTGTAGTTTATCACAGCAGTATTGGCCAAATAGCTATAAGAGTGTCTGTTCCAATGGGCTGTAGCTGTTGATACTTAAGAATGATCTGCTATTAGCTTTAAGGTTTCTCTTCTTTGTTGCCAACTTATACTAAGATTTTCTTATTTTTTTAATGCTTTTTCACTATTTTTCTTCGGAGTCCCTGCTACTATTTGAAGTGGTACGTGCAAGCAAGTGTTCTAAAAATCTTCAAAAACTGTCCTGAGCTACAAAATATGTGGTTTGTTTATTTATTTATTTATATAAATTTTACTCTTCACAAACTGTTAAGGAGTATCTTTTTTGAATGGATTGTGTCATTCCAGAAGGATGTATGTTAAATGTCTTCAATTGCTGAAATGGCAACAAAGCAACTTAATCTGCGAATGTTTAATTTAGATTAATCTAGCTGTTTGTTAATGCAGAAATGAGCCCTAATGCACAGGCCCATTAGAAATACACCCAGTGAACATGGGTAACAACCCTAGCCTTGAAAGAAGGTATCAAAAGTATCAGAACTTGTGAAGAAATATTTAAAAACTTGAAAGGTCAGTAGTATTCTGGCACTTTCCTTTCTACTTGTCTTTCTAAATATTTGCATAGAGTCCTAGAGTTGCACATGTCTGCACAGACCACATCTTCTGGTCCGCAGGTAAAGAAATGCTGCAAGTCGTTTACAGTGTTTTAAGTCTGGAATGGTGCTGGTGTGCAGTACCTCACTGCTGTGTTGGTGCCACTTGTGAGTGCTACATGTAGCAGGTTATTCAGTGGATTAACTTCCTTGTGTTTTAGCTGATAATAAACATATTAGCCAAACTCTTAAATGAATGGTACAATACTAATCTAGTAGTGGATAATGGGCAGGACACAAAAATAATAGGTAAAATCTTTCAAGCATTTTTTACAGCTGTGACTTAAAACTTATTTTTTTTTTCCTTAGATTTGTTTTGTAAATAAATAGTTAAAAGCGAAATCCTTGAAAATTGTAAACACTTAGCAGTGGCAGTCTCAAATTTGCTGTTGCAGATTTGGCTGATTTACTTGAATCAAAAAGTTGATTAGACATGGATAAATCAGTGGAAAAACTTGCACTGATTAAATGGACCAGATTTTTCAGCCTGCTGTTGGATGGGTGTCAGCAAGGAAGGCTGTTGGCTTATCAGTGTGTTTGCTTATGCTTAATTTGTATTACAAGTTACACTTAAGACTGGTTGTTTTCTTGTTTTTCAGGGCATACGGGACATACTGCAGATATGAATATATTTTTAGATGATCCAGAATTTGCAGAAATTATTCTGAGAACAGAACAAGCTATAGAGTGTGGAGTTTTTCCAGAAAGAATCTCTCAAGGATCCAGTGGGAGTTACTTTGCTAAGGATCCAAAAGGGGTGAGCATGTTACTGTGAAGTCAGATACACCATCAGCAGCAAGTTGAAAATGGAAATTAAAAAATTCTATCTATATGCAAATTAATTTAAATAAGTTATTAAATAATTTATTGTATGCCAAAATTTATTTTGGAAAAATCAATGCAAGTAATACTTAGATTTCTAATTATGTCTTGCTGCATAAGATAAAGCAAAATAACTATTATTTCTGCTGCAGTTTTATTTCTTTTTTAATGATCTGCACCAGAAAAATATGCAGAGAATAAAAGGGCTTCTAACATATGAAGACAACCCAGGAATTCCCTTGTGCAGAATTTTGTTCTTTGTGTGTTTTAATTGATTTTTGCTCAACTGACCATCTGATTGCAGTATGGTTTAAGTTTCTTTAGCTAAACCCCCTATATTGTTCTCTCTTTTCTTCTTAGATAGCCTTTTATTCAGGTCATGTCTCCTTTCTCCTATACGATTGGTAGATGGGTGAGAAGAGTGATATTATCAAATCTACCTTTTAACTTGTACTGGTCTGCTGAAACTTAGCTGGAAGATTTGGTTTCCCCTCTGCAAGATTTGGTTTTCCCTTCTGTAGTTGGTAAATGGTACCTTGAACAGTGTTACTTTGAGACAGAGAAGTAGTAGTTACCTGAATCGCTCCCTTGAAAAGTAACGTGTTTAGCATTATTTAATAAGAGGAAATGATGTCTCAGACATACTTTCACCTTGTTTTCTTTAAATTAGAAATACTTTCCTACTGACCTGTTTCACCAAATAAGACCTCCAACTGCTCAACTTTTGTTAATTTGATACATCTGATTTTATTTTAAGCTCAATCAGCAGTTTTTAGCTCTTAGATAGATGCAGGTGTTCATTAATCCTGAAGATCCCAGTTGTGCTGGAAATGGAAGTTGGAACACTTTGAATGCCTAGGTTCTCAGAGCATGTTCAAGATTTTTGTCATTCCCATAACGGTAATTTCCCTTTCATGTAGGAGGAGTATGGTTTTTGTTTAGCTTTTCATCATACAATAGGTCATTAGAAAATATATCCCTGTTTTACCAGTTAAACTTCATTGTTTAGTTTGTTTTAATGGCAAATCTCTGGTGATAGTTTTTATGCCTTATTGAGTAAGTGGGGTTTTTTTTGTTTTTTTAGAGTAGTTACCTGACTTTAGTATAAATAAATATGTCAATTTATCATTTTATTTTTATGGAAAGTGGCAGAACCACCCCTTCAAAATCTTCTGAAAACTGCAGTTCCCATGCCTGCGTTCCAGGAATATTTGTTAGTAATGATCCTCTTCATTCTGGTGAAGAAAATAAAAAGGAGGGTCTCTTTCTCCTTTTGAAACCTGAAGGAAATAAAATATTTCTGTAATGGTTTTGTGGGATTCTTGGTGTCACATGCAGTGCTGTAAATATAAAACTCCAGAGCTCCAGCTTCAGGTCGCTCTTTTTTAGTAGCTTAGATCTTTGTAGATTTTCTGGTTGTGTGCTTATAAACACATATTCAAACCTTATGCTGTTTTAAAAGTAGTATTTTCAAGTGGGTTTATATCTTATTTAATATGCAATAGGAAAAAAAAAGTAAGTAGTCAAATACTGGTTTTAATAAATAGTTTTTCAAAATTCCTGTGCATGATGTATCTGAAGAATATTCTAGAGTGTCATGCTAAAAATGCTTTACAATTGATCAAATTTTAATTTTTCTTAATGCTGTGTAATCAATATTTTTTTATTCTCAGAAAATTAGTAGAGAAACCACTAGGGAAAAGAAATCATACTGTATGTGCATATCTGTCTTGTCTGAAGCTTATCTAGATTGATTTTGCTGGGTTTTGGTCACTAGCAAATGTCTGAGGTACTTACTGAGCCCTGGTGATGGTGAGAGAGTATTTATGCATCATTTTAGTATAAACATAACCATAGTATTTTGGCTGGGCCATATTATTCCTTGTTTCTTATTTGGTGATTGTGGTGATTTTCTTATTGGTTTTACTTTTATTTTGCTGTGTTGTTTTTGTTCCTAGTTAAGTTTCTAGTAGTGACTTGCCTTCCTCCGTCATGCAGGTCATAGGTTTGAATATAAGTATTTAGGAGAAACAAAGATTGAGAAGACTGTTTATGTTATATGGTTCATAAAAGGTTCATTGCAAAATAGGAAAGTATTTGGGATATGGGACTGTGAGAATGATACTGAATGCTCAGCAGACTTTAAATTCTGCTTTTATTCTTTGCTTTTGTTCTAGAGCTTATCTATGTTTGCTATCCATATTAAAGGTTTGATAAAACTTCATTTTGTCAATAGTGCAACTTTCATGTGTAGAATGGATTTCAGATCCTGTTTGAGTATTGCATCATTCTACTTCAGACCGGTTCTGTCACCTGCTTTCTTCTATTCCTCTTGAGTAATCTCTTTCTTATGCTGGGAAGGAGCTCATTAAAGATGTGCTAGGCCTTTTTACTGGTAACATTCTGAAGTGTTTGCCCAAAATGAATACCAAATTACAGATAAAATAAGCTGTTTCCATTAGGTCACCCTATGTGCTGATTTGGTTGTGTCAGAAAGATGAACTTCAAATTGCATAATTAAAATTAGCTTTTTGCATTTATTGGCAAAAGTTACATAGTTGCATACTGAAATGGAGTTCACTACTTAAACAGCACTATTACAGAAGGCTTGAATATTTCTGCATTTGTTCATTGTGTAAGCAATAAATAAAAGACATTGTGTCTGTTACAAATTGTTCTACAATGTGTTCCTGACAGTTTCAACTAATTGCTAGTGTTAATGGAGTCAGTGTATAAGACTGGAAAAATTAAGTCTGGCCTTGGTAGCTTCTTCTATAGATTGAACTTTTTGGTTCTACTCTGGTCCTCAACAGCAGTGGCTCCACAAAGTTTAGCAAGATTCTAACTTCAGCAAAACTGTGAAAACCATATCTAGATTTGGCTGTATAGCACAGTACAGTCCAGGCTGGTAATAGAATGAGCTAAGCTCCTTTTTTAAATGGGCACTTACTAGGAAGTATTAGCCAGAGAGTGATTCAGAAGAGATAATTAAAGGTTTGGCATGTACTTGTACCACAATGATTCCAAGAAATGCAAAGCTGCTAGCTTTGTTTTAAGCAGGTAGATACGTGTGATTCAATAGGAAAAAATTAAATAACTTTTCAATAATACTAAACTTAACAGTAGGATTTTGACTAAAGTAATATACCAAATGCTGTGATTTAAAAATAATAATGAACAGTGAAGTATTCAAAAAACATGCTGGCCCTTCTCATTTCATAGAATATTTATTGCATTTGTGTAGATCTAAGTTGAATATTGTCTGTGCAGTTGTGTTCAAGGTTTTGAATGCAACCTTAGAATTACAGATAACAGCCTGCCAAACCCAGGAGAATTCTTGTCAATTTGCTTCCTGACTCTGTTGATAGGACACTAATTTTATAGTATGAGTGCAAATAATGGTATTTTGTAACTTAGTTTTCCTTGTAGTTAATGGGAATTAATCAAAATAGATGGATTAGACACATGATGCTACTAATGCCTGGTGTCTTGTGTATCTGTTTACAAACAGAATGAATTAAGTTTTCTATAGTTACTTAGTCTTGAGCAATCTTGGAAAAAGCAAGATTGTCTTGGAAAAATTGGTTGAAAAATCTCTAGAAGCTAAACCAGCTGGTGAGATCCACTCCCTAACCCAGCTGAATCCGCAGCTACTGAAGAATACTGCTGGTTTCTGACTGCCAGCAAATATATTCATCACCTGAGTATGAATCAGCTTTGAGTGCTGGTGCAACAATAGGCAGTGTTTAGCTTATTGAGATACTTTTCATAAGGGTGTAGTAAAGTAGTAATATGTGAAAATGCTTCTTAAACAGTTGTCCTTAAGTATTTATCAGGAAGAATTTGGTTTACTTGCCATTGTCCAGTCAGAAGGGATGAAGATGCAGCATCTTTATAGCATTCCACTTGAGCTATAGAAGAGTCATTATGTGAACTTTAAACAAAGTTTATCACAAACAATTGAAAGGTTATATATTTTAATGTGGTAATAACCCTGTGGTTTGAGATTAACAAATATAGAACCCTGTGTAGAAGACACCTTGAGAAATTGCCAATTTAATGCTTGTGCTTTGGAGCAGTATTGTTTTAACCTGATTCTTGAGGAATGTCTAACTAACCTGTTGTTAGTTGCACCCTGTTCTGGAGACTTGCAGAACCTGGCTGGTTGTTCCAGTCTCGAGCTGCACTTAAGTTTCTAAAGGATCTCTTTTTGCAGCTTATCTGCTGGATTTTGAGCCTGTCATTTCTGGGCTTGTTAACAGTAAATGTGTTGTTCCTTTTTTTTTCTATAGCAACCTATTCCATTTTATTTCAGTTTATTGTGCCTCAGTTGTCTCTTAGCTTAATCATTCACTGTTCCTACTGTCTTTCATTATTCACATATTATGTGCTTATTTTCATTTTTTTTCAGCTTTCTCCAATTTGTTGACAGATTTCTTGAAGTATAGTGTCCAAAACTAGACACAGAGCTCTGACTAATTTTAATATTTACTATGTGTCTTTAATGTAAATGATGGCTGATGGTCATTTTGATCCATTCAAACTCAGGGTAGTAAGAAGAATAGATTTAAAAGAAAATAAATCAGTTGATTTTTAGTGTTACATATGTATGTCACTTTCCTGGAGCCATTACATCTCTGAAAGAGGTGATCAGTGAGTTGTTGGTGGACTGAAATTTTTTTTTAAAGATAAATATATATATATTTTAAAATGCAGTGCATTTGAATTTTGATTAAATTTTTTTAAAAAGTAAATATTGGTTTGGATTTTCTCTTATGAAGAGCTTATTTTGTATTTATACTAATCCTAAAGAAACACTTCACAATAAATTTATTTGGAATTCAATTTTTTTAGTTTTATTATTTCATTTAAAAAGAGCAACTGTAAAACACAGTGGGTAAGATTTAACCAGTATTTTCAAATTACTGATTTTTAAACTAATTTTAATATTCAAAGTGTTCATATTTTAATTTTATATTATTTACCTTAGAAAATTATAGGAGTGTTCAAACCAAAATCCGAAGAGCCTTATGGACATCTAAATCCAAAATGGACCAAATATTTTCACAAAGTTTGTTGTCCTTGCTGCTTTGGCAGAGGCTGCCTTGTTACAAATCAGGGATATCTCTCTGAAGCTGGTGCCTATCTTGTGGATGAGAAACTGGGGCTTGGAGTTGTACCTAAAACTAAGGTAAAACACATAAATTACTGAATTAAATAAAAAAAAAAAAGCCAATATATTTGTCAGTCTCTGAACTGTGGTTGTGTAGATAGCCTTGTATATTGTGTTATTTATGAGTCATTTGTAAACTATTCCAAGTACAAAGGCACAGTGATTTAATGTAGAAAAAGTGACTATGATTTAATTGATTGAATTTATAGTTTTGAGATCTGAATTGAATCTCTTCTTTGAAACCAGTTTCTAGCATTTTCTGATACCTTCTGTGCCTATGTTTTTCTGAGCTACAAGTTGCAAAAATCAGCATATAAAATTCCCATCTTTGTTTGGGATATGTGAAATAGAGAATTATAAACTTTTCATATAAAATTTATCTGTTGAAAATGTCTAATGCTTGTTTGTTTTTTAAATTTTTTTTTATAGCAGAGCATAACATTAACTGTAAATTTACAATTGAAATAATGAGAGGTTCTGAGCTGTGTTTAACTTTGATATTTTAAGGTTGTCTGGCTTGTCAGCGAGACCTTTAATTACAGTGCAATAGATCGTGCAAAGTCAAGAGGAAAAAAATACGCTTTAGAGAAAGTGCCAAAAGTTGCTAAAAAATTTAATCGAATTGGACTACCTCCTAAGGTAAGATCAAAAATAATAATTTGTGCACTTCCTGATTCTTACATAAAACTTTTAAAAAAAGGATATTTATAAGCAACTTCAAAGATAGAAGAAAAACTTGCTGCTTGTTGAAAACTGTCTGAAATTCGATACAACTGTTTTCATGCAACATGTATTCACTCTTACCTCATTCCTTCTTTTGAACTATTTTAATAATATTTTCACTTTTTGTTTCAGTTAACAGTCCAGTTTTCTGCTGGAGTAGTAACATATTAGTTGTATATCTCACTTTTGCTCTATTTATTCTTTGCTTACTACCTGTCCTTTCAGTGTTACATTTTGATATTGTCAGCCTGTTTTTTCCCTGCAATTTATCTAATTTTTTTGCCTTCTGTTGTTTTTATTCTTTTGGGTACCCTGCTGTGTTCTTCCTGCCTCCCCTTTGTCTTACATGTGGACTACACTGACTAAAAACCTCACATCTTTCTTGTCTAATGAGCCTTATTGTGTCCCCAGATTATGACTACAGTGTTCTAATCCTAAGCCTTTAAAACGCAGGTTGCGTACAGTTTGGGTAATCCACTTGTGTCATTCCCAGCAGTTTAGATCCTTGTGACATTGGTTGTGCAATCTTGTATAAGCATGGTTATTCCACATGCTGTGTGTTTATCTATCTGTATTTTAGGTCTCAAATATAAGTTCTTGTATTTCAATCTTGAGCACCTTTCACAGATGTATGGAGCCTATGCTAACTCTCGTGTTCTTTCTTGGACTCTTTTGGGAAATGTATTTCAGTCATTCTTTGCAAAAAGCAACAGTCTCGAAGAGAATGGTTAATGCTGCTGTTCTTATATCACTGATTGTTTAAACAAATATTTTATAAAAACTACCATCAGAACCCCACCTTCACATGATTTGACTCTCAACTTGTTCAAGAGTATAGGAATGAAAGAGAAATTTATTTATTACTTAATTTAATTTTTTTAGTGTCATACTTCCTATGCTCTGAACTTTGAAAGTATATAATGAATTTTTCTGTTAATGTTGAGATTATTTATGTGACCTACCCATGTGCATTTTCCAAATGCAATTTCTTAATGTTTCAGGTTGGCTCCTTCCAGCTGTTTGTTGAAGGATATAAGGAAGCTGACTACTGGCTCAGGAAGTTTGAAGCTGATCCTTTACCTGAGAACACAAGGAAAGAATTTCAGTCACAGTTTGAAAGATTGGTTATTTTGGATTATGTCATCAGAAATACAGGTATTTGTTAATATCTCTTGGTATTTATCTATTTTTGTGAGGCAGAAAGCAATGCTGCCTGAAAGTTGGTGCTTAAGGCTTTTAATGCATTTCGGATGCTTTCTCATGATTGAAGGCCATAAAGATGCATTTTTAATTAAAAAAAAAACAACTTTGTATTAATAAATTAAATATTGCAGTACAAAAACAGTCCAAACAACTCTTTGTTATTCACTATTTTTAAGCAATGTGAGAAGTCAAGGATAAATGCTTTCATTGTGCTTTAATTCTGTGCATAGACAATTAACTGTTTCTCCCATTAGGATAAAGGATGGTGAGGTTTCAGGACTCATAAGAAAAGCTGTGACTACAATTCCTTTTATTTTAAACTGGAGCTGATAATAGCACAGTTTCACACCAGCTCACAATAGTTCATATTCATTGTATGGACTGTGAGGTACCACTGCAATTTGGAGCTGTCAGTTCTCTGTTCTTGTTTTTATCACTCAGAAGCTGGGATTCTTCTGTTGCTTATGTAGGTGAATTACTTCTTGAGGAATTCAAAGGCAGTTTTATGTTTAAAATACTTAGTTTGCTGTTTTGACAGAGGTGGGCATCTTTAGTTTTCTTCAGACATACCAGATCTAACTCATTTTCCTTTTCTCAAATTCTCTTTATGGAAGCAAACTAGAAGAAAGTTTCATAAGAACATAATATTTGCTAGCTGTTGCTATGGTCTGTCAGCTTTATCAAATAAGCCTCAGTGTTTCCAAAGAGTTAGTGTTTTTTGACATTCTTGAAGTTGTGAGGCAAATACTCAAAATGCAAAACCTCATTACATGGATGATTTTACCTTCATCTAATATATCTAATCATAGTTGAACATGAAAATCTGATGATGATTAAACTTAACGGAGCACCTTAAATGACAAAAGGTCCTACAGATCTGTGCAGTCATGCTCTGTCTGAAAGACCTTCTCAGAGTGTTTAATCTCTCAATTTGGTCTGAACAGTGCAGACATTTTCAGTTTCTTGCCCTTCTGTTTGTTTTGCCCCTTCTCCATCTTTGTAGAGTCTGTTTTCTCCATGTAATCAAAGATGATATTATCTATAATTTTGGAGGTCTTCTCCATTTCCTCATCAGCATTAAAACAAGCTTAAATTTTTAAGTCATTGGGGTCTGATAGTGTTTTCCTAAGGAAAAATGCACACCAAAACCAGTCTTTCTGCATAAAATGTATAAAGATACTTTATTTTGGACTTTTCTTCATATTTTGCTGCATATTTAGCCAGCTGGGGAATCTAAAGAAGTAATACATACTGAAAAACACGTGGTAAATTTGGTCTTTCCACTGAATTGGTTGCCTGTACATTTCAGTAAAACTAAACCATGTGATGGGAAAAACCCTTTTTGAACAGTTTTGCCTAACTCCATGGGAAAATTGTCAGTTTACAATATTGTTGTATGTCACTCTAAATGAGAATTTCTTTATGAATGATGTGTTGTGACATGCATTTTCCTCTTTAAAGACAGAGGTAATGACAACTGGTTAATCAGGTACGAAAAACAAGATGATGGACTTGATCTGTCGGATAAGGTAAGAGAATTGTACTGTGAAACGTATATTCTTTAAATTGTTTACTTTTGTAACTTGGTCTTGCTGGAGATTAAGGGCATATCCTTAATCCTGGTGCGTGGTCTTAAGAAATATGATAACTAAAAATTATTGTAGGCAAAATGAGTGGAAAAGCTATTTTGGTTAGATTAGGTAGAACAGTGCTAGAAATTATTTTTTTTGGTCTGTATTTTGCTCTAGTAGCTTGAGCTATAACAGCAACAATGTCCATTGTTACTCAGGCACATTTCTCCATTCCTTTGTGTTCTGCTTATCTTGTGTTTGGGGAAGGGCTTCTCTTTACTGGTGGTAGAATAAGAAATTATATGTGGTGGAGTTTTTTTGGATAATGCTTTATATTGTTTAAGTTGAATTTAACCAGTGAAGCTACAAAGTATATTATTTAGTGTTTTTAATGTGTTTTGCTGATTGTGTAAGCACGTTGGTATCACTTACTTCTTGAATATTCTTTCTGTAGGATAGCCAATGGACTATAACTAAAGAGTCTATTAAAATTGCTGCAATTGACAACGGTTTAGCATTTCCTTTTAAGCATCCTGATGAATGGAGGGCATGTAAGTACTGCATGCTTCAATCATTTTCCTATGGGAGTGTAACTTCCTAAGAAGTAATTTTTATTTGTGTTGTTGTAGTAAGGAACTAAGAAATCATCACTGTAGCTATATATTGGACATTTAAATAATGTACTCTTCTTTGCAAAGTTAGCAACAAATGCTGTTTTTGCAATGACATGTGTGATTTGATTCTTGTTCATATTTTTTACTTTTAAACAGTATTAATACATGGACATTCATAAACATAGTACTGTAGGTAATGGTGGAACTGGAAGAATTTAGCAACATGTTTCTCACACTGGTTTTCTTGAAAAACATAGTAGAAAATAATTTAGTTGCAAGAATTTTCAAGTTGTCCCTCTGTTGGCCAAATTTATATTTCAAAATGAAGGGTACTGTTGTAGATGGACAAGCAGGCAAGTCGGTTTTTCTTGTTTTCAGCTTTAGTTTACTTTGTAGAAATTAATATTTAGTCAATTTTCCATCTGCTTGAAAATACTATTACTGTTAAAATGAGATTGTTTTTGACCACATCTCTGACTACTTACCATTAGGAGGGAAGTGCCCAACAGGGCTTTCAATGACTTCTGTGGGTTATTACCCAGTCAGGTAATTCTGGCAGTTAAGTGTGGGCTAGTTACACTGTCAAAAGGCTGGTTAAGGGCTCCACCCAGACCTCTGTGCAGTCTCTGTCTTGATACTAAATAGATGCTGTCCTACATATCCCTTGGCTACAGTCACTTCTGGAGCTGTTCTAAAGACACAGCAATTACAGCTTATTTTATACCATCTTTACTTCAGCATCAAAAAGAATAAACTTGCATGATCCTTTAAAATTCTTTTGCAGATGGACAGGTGTGTGATAGTTTTGTAAAAGTAAACTTGTGGCATAGTTTTTACAAATTGCAGTCTCTTACTCCTTAGATCTGCTTGGTCACTGAGGATAACCTTCTCAAAGCCAGAGAGCAGCATTTGCCAAAGTTAGGAAGTTGGTCCAGCATGGATGAACAGGGAAATCCTTGCTGAATTGGGATGCAAAATTTAAGTACATTTAAAAAAAAAAGAAAAAAAAAAGATATATGTATACACTTCCCTGAAAAATTAGAGAAATTTTCCAAAAGTGCAAGAATGGAGTTTGGAATGTCAAAGCTCATCTGGAATACAGCTGGCAGAGGACATAAAGAGCAACAAGAAAGGGTTGAGTAAATCAGAAGTGAGAGTGGGACTGAAGAAAAGTGCAGTAAAGACATAAATGCGTAAGAAAGAATGAGTTACTCAATGCTGACTTTGCCTCAGTTTTCACTTGTAGGATTTGCTCTCTTTTGGATCTCAAAGCTCATAAGTAGAGCCTCTGGGAAGGGGCTTTTCAGAAGAAGCAGAAGAAAGGGGGCACTTAAGGAAAATGGTCATACGGAAGTTCATAGGAGCTGGCTGATGCTGTTTGTAATGCAGTTTTCTCGTCACTCTTGAAAGAGTATAGTAATGTGAGAGGTTGCTTCAGTCTTCATGAAGACTGTGGAATGAATCTTCCTGGAAGCTCTATTGTTCAGAACAAGAAGGTGATGGGGAAGCCAGCATGGATTTTCCAGGGACAAACTGTCCATGATAACTAGGCAGCTTTTAATGATGTCTGCTTCAGTGGCTGAGGGGAGGGCAGTGAATACTGATTGTTTATTTCTTGACTTTGGTAAGGACTTCTACATGCTCTGTCATAATATTCTTGTAGGGAAACATGAGTTATGAACTGAACAGACTGTAAACTATGTGGAAAACTGGCTGGACTGTCAGACTGAAAGGAATGTGGGCATTGTGAGGAAGTTTAGAGGGTGCTAATGCCTAGCACCCCTGCTGCTAGTGACTTTTCTCAGATCCTGCAATTAATAGTTTGGTGTCTTGTTCAACATCTGGTAATATTAATTACTTTTGCAAAATAATTTGATAAAAGCTGTCTAATAGCAATTACATGAAAAGTTATGAATGCTTTTCTCTCAGTATGCTTAGAAGAAGGCATTTTAAAAAGAAATTAAAAATATATTAAAAATAGTAACTTTTTTGTTAATTCTTCCATATGAGTAGAATACCTGAAAGATTTCTATTTGATTGCAGCTATTTTTTTACTCCAAAGGAAACTGCCTTACTAAACTAGGGGAAGACCTCGACTGTTGCTTACAGTGTTTAATTTATATACCTTTTATTGTTTTAATTAAATATTCATTGCTTAATATATTTCACTGTTTAAAAAAAATGGCTAAGCAGTTGTAAAGCTGCTCTGGTAACTGTAGCCAACAGGAATGTGTGGGGTAACAATGCTGGGAAAAAGAGGTGTTACTGAGAACTTGCAGTAGGTAGTCGAGTACTTGACTCAGAATTTCATTTTTGCTTATCACTGAGTGCAATGTTTTTCATTAGATCCCTTTCACTGGGCTTGGCTTCCTCAAGCAAAAGTTCCTTTCTCTCAGGAGACAAGAGACCTAGTTCTTCCTCACCTTTCTGATATGAACTTCGTACAGGACCTTTGTGAAGACCTTTATGAACTATTTAAGGTAAATCAAGTGCTTCCTTGAATTGACTATTACTGAAGTAGCTGATACTTGTAAAGAGACAGTTAATATTCATAAAAAGAATAACCATCTAACTTCTGAATGCAAAGATACTCTGCTATTTTACCTTTAACATTGGCATGGTAGAAAGGGTTTATGTAATTACAAGGAAACTGTCACCACTGTGGTTAATTGATAGTAGTTAGCTGATCTGAAAATACAAATTACCTATTCTAAATCCAAGTTTCACATAATCAGCTAAAGCTAGTTTACTCTTACAGTGCAGATCTATGTAAAAACAGCATTTAGCATACCTGTGTGGTGTGTATGCACTTAAACTGTAGCAGCCTGAGGAAATAATGTATTTTATGTAATTTAAAGTACTTCCATACTTTCACATACTTAATTTTATATGCATATATTGTGCTAAGCTGTTGCTGAAATCTTGATCGTATTGAAAGTCAAACTCACTTTAAAGATACTGAAACCATCTACAGTATTGACATGTAAAGGGTGTCCTTCTCTAAAACATTTTGTAAACATTTGTTTCAGATGTTCAAGTGAAATAATCCAGTTAAGGATTGAAAGAATTGGAAATTTTAAACTTTTAATGAAAATGCAGATGTAATGTCAAAACGAGATCCTGAAAAATATTTTTGCTATATTTTCATCTTTGACTTATTTTTGTTCAAAATGTCTCTAGGTTTGTTAGTTAAGTAGTAGTAAATCTGAAGGAAGAAGTATTTTTCTGCTAGAGTCATTGTGAGAGAAAGGGCAGTGTAACATTGTGTGATAATATTAAGTCTGGTATCTACCACCTGTTGGTATTTACCAATGCCCAAAAATGGTATCCATTGATCTATTTTATTTTATGATGTGGAACAGTCTTCATTTTCATGTCTGTAAACTTGATGCAGTAAATAGACCTTTTTGGGATTCATACTAGCATCCTATTTGGAGCTTTCAAAAATTATTATAGTGTGGGTAAATATGAATATGCATATTATGATATTGATGAATTTACATGCTAAATATATAGCTACAAATAAATGGGTTATTTTCTATGAACTGTTTGTTTTCTTAATAAAGACTGACAGAGGATTTGACAAGGCTACTTTTGAAAACCAGATGTCTGTTATGAGGGGGCAGGTAAGACTGCTTTTTTTATATTTTTATGTACTTAATTTGTACATAAACTCCTTAGCTGCTTTCTTTAGAGCTACAAAAACTAGCTCCTACTACACTGAATGACATTTGAAGATATTTTCATCTGAGAAGACTAAATTTCTTTCTAGAGTTAGTTCTTATTTGTGAATAGATGAAACAGCAGAAAGTGTAAGCTGATTTTTTGTAAAAAAATTTTTACAGAAATTACTTTTATTCTAATTTTGTTTTATTGTTTTTGTGGGAGATGAGGAGGACTTAACTGTATATTCTTAGCAGGTATTTTAAAAATCGAAAAGAGTTATAAATTTGGGTAGAAAATTTGATGTCTAATTTCATTATGCTATTAAAACAAATGTGACTTTATTTTAGGGGGTTGACTTCATTATTGAAATATTAGGTAATTAAATGTCTTCACCCTATCAAATATTGAAACCATACTTCAAAAAAGTCCAGCCATTTTCAGGTTAGAAATTTGATAATAGTTAAGTGCTGGGCTTGTTTTGTTTTGTGGGATTTTTTGTGGGTTTTATTAAATACTAAAATAAGAGAGGAGGAGGCTTCTCCATCTTCCTCCTATTTTACAATTTATGACTGGTATGAAAGACTAGAGAAAAAGCTTTAGCTAAGAACAAGTTTAGTTCATTGTAGGCATAAAATAGTGATTTCTGCAAGTGTAAGCCAATTGGACTAGGCAAATTAATAGTCCCATTTGCCCCGAATTTATTGAAACTTAGTCCTTGTGTTCATAAATTAAACATGGACAGTTTTAAGCCAGATAATTCCTGAAGTGTCATAATTCAATGTTTTCTCCATAGAATTTATTGTATCAAGATGTGCCTTGCACAAGACTGCAGCTCTGTATAATCGCAGTTAACATCTTTTGTGTGGTAGCTAAAATACAGAAAACCTTATATACTAAATTGAATTATAGGAGTTGTTTCTGAAATAACCCTTCTGAGAAGTTTGCATAGTCCCTGGAAGGTGGGTTCTTGAAGTACTCATGCGTTCTAAACTGTATTAAGTAGCTTTTTTCTGATGTGACAATTGGCTACAAGGAATCAGTTATTTAACAAAATGCTTGAGGAAAAACATGATTGATATAATTGGAAGTGATGTTGCTGAGGTTGTCAAAGTTAATTTTCCACTATAAAGGCTGCATCTGGACCCTTTCTTCACACACTGTCCCTCAGGAGGATTTTAGCAGAGATTTGTTTTAGTTTTGAGGGTTTTTTTACCTCTCTCTACCTATATGAGAGTGTGTTTCACTGTGGGAAATGCAGGTTTTCAGGCATGGGAGAAATGCAGATAACGAGTAATCCTTGGATGCCATTGGAAATACATTGGCAAACAATGCCTTTTAGCACCGATTTGAAACAAAGTTTTGGTGTAAAACCAAAGTATGTTACAAGGCCATTATGGAAGACTTGGCTATCTAGATCATATGCCAAGGGATTCATTCAGTTGGGATGAATTTGCAATATATCCAAAACTTCTAAATACATCCTTAAAAATGAGAATTTAAGAATTAGAAAATGAAGAATCTAGATAAAGAAACTGTAGGGGAACGTATCTTGCATGGAAGAGTCAAGGCCTTTAAATGTAACCAAACATAGTTAGAAGCCTATTTTTTTGAAGTGTAGGAAAAAATTTTGGGAAGGATTTCAAACCCAAAAGAAACCATTCTCTCAAGAATGTAGAGTCTAAGCAACGGGTAACACATCTACAAAGGATTGCCTTAGAACTTTGAGAATGTAAATGTCAAGTGGAGTTGCTGGCAGAACCAAATTGCAGTAAATAATGTAAAATACTTTGTCGGGGTTCTTTGGCCATGAAAGAGCAGAATAAGCAGAGGATCAGTCTTACAAGGAAGAAAGGGCCATTGTGCAGGGGAAGAAAGACTTGATATTAAGGATAATGCAAATGTGTCACTAGAGCTAAATTGAATACTTGCCTCAGTTTTCTGCAGGATAACATTGAATATGGAGTAAATTATGGGGGCAGTCCATGAGCACTGAAGTTTTGGAAGAGAGATAACAGACTCTTGGGAGCTGAGGGCTGAATTTGGGTCTTAGCACTGGGTTTGGTCTGAGCTAATTATATGGCTTCATATCTTATTAGGAAAATAATTTGTGGCTAAACTGCTGGTACATTCTATGGTAAATCATGTTGATTTCTTATAGGTATTTTTTCACTAAAGGTGCAGCGCTTTCAAGAGATGTACTAAATTTAAAATGCTCTTAGATTTTTCACTCTTAGAATTTTCTGAAAATTTGGAGGGCTGCATGAAATAGTCAGGAGAAGAATGGAAGGGTAGACAGCAGTAGGATGTTTTCATGTTATCAAATAAGTAAATTATTTCTGCTTGCAATAGGTAATACATTTTGAAACTAATTTATTCAGCAGTACAGTCCTCTACGGAATTGATTGAAGAGTGGCTAACCCTGTTAGCCACAGTTTTATTTGTGCACTTTAGTCTCACCTGCTTTTACCTGTGTTTACTCTTTTTAGATACTAAACCTTACTCAGGCGTTAAAGGATGAAAAGAGTCCCATTCAGCTTGTTCAGATGCCACGAGTGATTGTAGAGCGAAGTAGCACTGGAAGTCAGGGCCGAATTGTTCATCTGAGTAATGCATTCACACAGACTTTTCATAGCAGGAAGCCTTTCTTTTCCTCCTGGTAGCAACAAAAATACATGGGAAGAATAAGTTTATCTTAACTTTAGAAAGCTACTTGTGTGTAAAGGCTCTGCAATAATGTCCTTCTGCTGTATACCAAGAGCTCTGACTGCCGACACCTCAAAACTTAAATTCTAAAGACTTAAGAAATGTATTTTGAATGTAATAAAAGTTTACAATTTTTGTGTCAAAATTGTGAATTCTTATGTCAGGGAATAAAAAGAATTTGTCCATACTGTATTTTTATAGGCTAAATTAATGTATTCTGAATAAGGGAGACAGTTTGCATATACTGAGAAGCTAATTTTGAATACAGTGGGAATTTTTTGTTTAATATAAATGTGAGAATCCGTACACTATCAATTTCTTTTTATATGGCCTTTAAAAAATAGTTCAGAATGTTACCTTTGATTGTGAAAATGCTTTTCCTTGGAATTTCTTCTTGGTACTTTAAACTGGTTATAGATTTTTGTAGACTAGTTACTTGAAAAGTCATGCACTCAAAAAAAAAATAAATCAAACTGTCCTTGAAAAACAAAGAAAGGGAGTAAGGGGGAAGATGCTCCATGTAGGCTTTTTTGCACGCAGGGACCAAAAATTGTTAAATAGTTGAATTACAACAAAATTCAACCCAAGTGAATACACACAGTTTCTACTGTGACAAAATACGAGTGTGTGTTTCAGAGTTGAAATTCCACTGTAGTGTTTGGCACTTGTATAAAGCACATATATGGAAATCTGATACTTCTTTGGAGATGCATCACAATGAAGGATTTGCACCACGTTGTTACAGGTTTATTTTGTCATTCATGTAAAGATGTGTTCATCACTTGTCACCAGAGTGGGTCTTCTGCTAATGAGAGAGGCACTAATTTGTTCATTGGAAAGCCAGTTTACTTTGTAAATTTCTAGCTAAATACAGTTTGGGGTTTTCTGACTGGAAAAAAAAAAAGAAAAAAATCCTGGAATACTTACAGCACAGAGAATTACTTTTGTGCCCTGAATAATGTTGTGCTCATCTGCCAATCGCTATTTGCATTTATGTTTAAGTTACCTGGTTTAAGACTTGACAGTCATGTTTTCTAGGTCTATGACTTATGTAATGTGGCAAATATTTTTATTTTGATAATTTTCTGGACATTTAAGACTGGGAAGGGGAGAAAGATTGCTGCTTTTTTGAAACCTTCAGTATTTCAGACATCGCTGTATTTTGTAATTCTAAGCAATATTGTTGAACTCAGAAATAATAAAATGCTTGTATTTATATAATTCTGAGTGGATGTAAATATTAATGTAGAGTGTGAGCAACTTCAATGTTTACGCGTTAAATGGCTGCCCCGGGCCGCCGTTCCGCTGGGGGGCGCTGTCCGCCCG